CTGGTCCAATGTCTAGAAGCTGTGAAGAACTGGATAGAAAAGATCAGACTTAGAAAGAATCTCAACAAGATAAGACTGCCACTTGTCCAGAAGTTCTTGGTTCCATCTTAACTCCACCTTCTGCTGTACCTAGATAGCATTTCCCCTAAAAGAGCAGGTGCTCAATCTGATGATTTTGTACACTGCTCAGAGTCACTCTATCAGACTATGACTCTGTGAACTGCACTGGTTGCCACTTAGCTTGTAGGCCCAACCTGATCCTTGCTGCCTGTTTGTTCTAAGTAGAACCTGCTCATCTGACTGATAGGATATGCTGAGGATTCTCCCCAGGGTGGGCTTCAGCCGGTTTGTGCCAGTTCGGCCGAACCGGGTGTTCATTTTACATATGGTTTAGTGAACCAGTAGTCCCAATGACTGGCTTCCTCACCCCCACCCTGCCCTTCCCTTCCCAACATAGTCCCCATATACCTGTTTTGGATCACAGGTAAGTGCGGGCCCATGTGAAGGTTCAGGGAGGGCAAAAAACGGGCCTCCTAGACTCCAGAAGGCTGGAAACAGATCCATTTCTGGCCTCCAGAGAGTCTCCAGAGCCCGATTAGGGTGAAAATAGCCCCCCCGTGGTCCGTTTTCATTCCCAGGGTGGTACAGGGAGGCTAGTAGGTTGAAAACAGGGCACAGGGGGCACAGTACAACCCCCACATGGCCCATTTTTGCTTGGTGGTGACTAGGCCTCATCCATCTAGCAACCGGGCAGAGAAACAGTTGTTAAATTATTTGAAGCCCACCCCTGATTCTCCCATACCTCAAGTTATTGAAGGGAAGGGACCCAGAGGCAGCCCCCTTAGGGTCTAGGACAACTCACAGTGCCAACTTTCCCCAGTCAACTCTCCCCAGTCATCTTATCCTGGTCTGGCTCTCTGGCTGACTTGCCATAGGACAATTCAATGCTTGATAACTCAAGAAAGGGAGAAGTGAATTGCTGTGGGTGTTGTCTTGATTTAGGTTTGAACCTTCTCCAGTTAGAAGTCCTCGAGGTTGGGGCAAGCTGCAATTCTACTTGTCCCTTTCTTGAGTTATCCTGCATTGAATTATCCTACCACAAGTTATCCTATGGTGAGTTAGCTGTGGCAAGTTGTCCTGCAGTAAGTTGACTGGGGCAAGTTGACCAGGACAAGTTGAACATGGTGAGACAGCCAGGGCAAATTGGCTATGGCAAATTCCAGCCCTCCCACTCTGGAAAAACTTTTCCTTTGGTGGTGATCCATACAAATTTTGATGGTTCATGCAACTCTGGAGACAAATGGCCCTCCTATGGCTGGAAGCAACTCTTTGGCAAAGTGGCTGGTATTCTGTTCAGTTATAGTTTGAGTATATGGTTTAGTATATGTTTTTATATGAAATATAAGCCACTGTATTCTTTGATGAAGTGGCATACAAATTGTTGTAATTAATAAATAGATGTTTGAAAAGAATATCAGTATGAAAATGTACTGAATACTAACCAGCCAACCAAGGTGCATGGCATGTGAACTTACTCAGCATGGTCACTGTTATGTCTCTAGCCTCAGTAGCTTACAGTATATAAAATATCCTTTCCCAAGAGGTTTCTATGCCCTCCAAGATTCTACTTATCTCATGCAGTTCAGGGATGTGCTGGGATCTTAGTACAGGAAAAGAAATAAATTAAAAACTCAGTCAGTCTATGTTGATCTTTCAGTTATATTCCAAAGGTCACACTTCAGAAAAATAGGAGAAATTAGATCAAGAAAAATTGATCAGGACTAGGACAAGTACTTAAAATAAATACATTCACAACTAACACGATAATTTCTTATAATTTAACAATATATCGTCTTTTTTATTCTAAAGCTATAATCCAGTAGGGGAACTCTAGACTTGCACCTAAGATACAAAATCGCAAGAAAAATTATCAGAAAAAATGTAAAGTGGATATTTTTAAAATAGGAAGTTCAAGAATATGTATTTATATTGACCAATTGATCTAGTTACACATACATTTTGAATCTGTAAATTATCAGTATTCATTCCTATTGTCCTTAGGCCAGTGATTTGATTACTAATGGACACTACCTCCAATTCTACTTTTCTCTTACGTAATATGGAGATTTTTTAAAATTAGTTACAAGAAAGCATGTGACTTATTAAAAGTTTATATGTTTCTATCAATCAAAAGTATTAATGTTTCAATCAGAGTCTATTAAATTAGAAATTATTTTAGAAATGACTCAGATAGTAAATTCACCCCCTTCAGACTAATTTCAAAAAATATATTTTACCCAAAGTATGGTTGAAATTGCTATTTGGAATAAAGGTCATAAAATATGATATCAAACATCTAAGTCTAATCCTTAATTTATTTACCAAGATATTACAACATCATAACATCATCATCCCAGCCACAGAATTATCAGAGAAGCCATAGAGATTGAAAAAAGACCTGAAAGCATGAATAGAAGAGATGATTCCACCAGACGGTCAATTATTTGGAAGCCTGCACTCACAAACAAAAAAATCTCCACACCACAAGCCAGGCAAACACCTGGGCACAAACAGATCCCCCCTGATACCTCCAGCTCAAACACACCCCAACCAGGCACCCAGATGAAACCTAGCTTCCTAATAAATGATAGCCGTCCATTTACTCAGAGCCAAGCTGCACTAAAAGCCTCCAATACAGGAACACAATGTTGCCAGCCAATCAAGACAAAAAAAGCCACAAAACAGACAGAAGATATTAGAAACACCAATCAAGCAGAACACAGCAAACTCCAAGACCAATAAACACAGACGAAGACTCCCAACCAATCAGGATGAAGAAAAAACCATTCTGGCACAGCAGTAGGCTAGCCCCAAATTTAAAACTGAAACAACTGTAAAAATCTGACTCACAGACGAACTCAATTCAGAAGCCTGATGATGGCAGATGAGATTCTGCCGAAACGTTGCTACAACTTTAAAAGCACAACTATAATGACGGGGGAAAATACCCGAACAAAGCTGAATGCCACACACACACACACACACACACACAAGCACACAAAAACACACAAGTTTCTCCATGAGGTAGATGGGCGGTTTTAAAAATTAGATAAAGAAATAAAGTACAATTTTTTCAGGAGAATTTCTGTAGGATTTATAGTTCGAAACATTCAGAGAATATATATCTGGTTGAGTTTGATTGCAAAACTAAAATAATGTGTATTTTTCTGAGAAGATACTAATGAGATTTATTTTTGAGTAAACCTATGATG